CCTCTTGGGCCGTTTTGGGGGCCTCTTGGGAGTCCCTTGGGCCGTCTTGCGGCGGTCTTGGGGCTGCGCAAGTCGGCAGCCGACCATTTGTCAAGCAACATTCCCAGACGGCGCTGGGGGTCACGGGACGTGGGTCCCGCGGGGGGGGGGGGGTCGCCACCCAAATGGCACATCCCCCCTATAGACTTTCTGCTCCTTCAATATGTGGGTCGACCACGTGAGCAGCACAATCCACGATGGGGCCTGGAGAGACAGGCAGGCCCGTTGCGGAATCGCGTGACGCCCGGGCGCGTGCCCGAGGCGACCGCGTCGCTGGTAGGCTCTCCGCACAAGGGGGTCTCCCGTAAGGGCCCAGAGAGACAGGCAGGCCCGTATCGGAGTCGCGTGACGCTCGGGCGCGTACCCGAGGCGACCGCGTCGCTGGCAGGCTCTCCGGACAGGGGGGCTCCCGTGGCGACCTCACGTCCACCTGCCACGAGGAGGCCCAGAGATCGTTGCGGAGTCGCGTGACGCCCGGGCGCGTCCCCGAGGCGATCGCGTAGCCGGTAGGCTCTCCGCACAGGGGGTCTCCCGTGGCAACCTCACATCCACCTGCCACGCCCAGAGAGTGAGAGAGATCAAGACCCCCCGCAAGTATGGCGCGAGATCAAGACTCCCCGCGACCAGTGGATCAGCGGCGCAGCTTGATTCGTCACGCTGTGTACTACGGTGAAGACTATGACAATCTTCCCTGACAGACAGCCAATATAATTGAACAGCGACATCCCGAAGGCGGGAGTGAAGGGCGTCCGAGCTCCGCCATAACAGGCTGCCCAAACCTAAAGATCAGCCTCTGAGAGGATCGGGGTTCCGAGTGAGCCGAGAAGCCAGCGTCCTCGCAGCACTATCAAGAGCTCGAACCATCAGGGCTAGGCTGGCTGAGTGGTCGAAGCGATTAAGGTGGATGCTGTGCCAATATCACTTCAGAAACCACTGTGGAACGAGGCGGCTCGTGACAGCAGGCGCAAGGGCCGCATGCACACCTGAGGGTCTCCCATGTGGCTTGCGGCAGCACTGGAGTCTCGAGAGCTCGCCCTCCCTGCCACCATTCCCCCCACCTCCATCCTCCACCACCTCCTCCACCACCCCCACCCCCCACCCACGATCCAAGCCTGTCAAACACACACACACACACACACACACACACACACACACACACATACAGACACACCCGTGCGGCGAAACGCTGCTGCGCAGAACTGCTGCGCAGGCACTCGCTGGCTCACGGGAGGAGCTCGGGCGAGGCACCCGCGGGGGGGCAATGAGCGCGGGGGGGCAACCGGGGTGCAGGGCGGCGGCCCTCTGGAAGGCATAGAGGCCCCCGAACTGCCACCTCGGCTCCAAGGCGCGCCAGAAAGGCGCGCCTCTCTCCGCCCCAAGATGACTCCCCCCCCTGTTCTCCGGGCCCCTCCCCGGCCACCGCTGCCCCAACGCCTGGCGCTCCCTCCGGGGAGGCCTGGCGCTCCGCGCGCGCGCGGCTGCCGCGCGCGCGGCTGCCGCGCGCGGCGCGGGGGGCTGGCCCCGCATGTGGGCCCAATCCCAACCCACTGGGCCCAATCCCAACCAACTGAGACCAATCCCAACCAATGCGAAAAGCAAACTGGGCCCAATCCCAACCATCTTGGGATAGGCCCACAATAGGATTTTAATTGTAGAGAAGCCCAAGACGCGTGCGAAGACCAAGTGACATTCCTTATGTCAACGCACAGGATCTGGAAGCCAACATGCATGCTCGAGTTGGAATTGGTCTCAGTTTTGGTTTGCACACGAGCACTACGTTAAGATGAGCAAGAGGGCACCGAAGCGTAAACATCGATTCTAAAATATGCAAATGGATCTTCCTGGTACTAGTAGTAGTAGTCGTAGTAGTTGTAGTAGTCGTAGTAGTAGTAGTAGTAGTAGTAGTAGTAGTCGTAGTAGTAGTAGTAGTAGTAGTAGTAGTAGTAGTAGTAGTAGTAGTAGTAGTAGTAGTAGTAGTAGTAGTGGTAGTGGTAGTAGTAGTAGTAGTAGTAGTAGTAGTAGTGGTAGTAGTAGTAGTAGTAGTAGTAGTAAGTGGTAGTAGTAGAAGTACTCGTAGTAATAGTAGTAGTAGTAGTAGTAGTGGTAGTAGTAGTAGTAGTAGTAGTGGTAGTAGTAGTAGTAGTAGCAGTAGCAGTAGCAGTAGTAGTAGTAGTAGTAGTAGTAGTGGTGGTAGCAGTCGGAGACGCAATCGTAGTCGTAGTAGTCGTAGTAGTCGTAGTAGTCGTAGTAGTAGTGGTCGTAATAGTAGTAGTAGTAGTAGTAGTAGTAGTCGTAGTAGTAGTAGTAGTAGTAGTAGTAGTGGTAGCAGTAGTAGTCGTAGTAGTAGTAGTAGTAGTAGTAGTAGTAGTAATAGTAGTAGTAGCGGTCGTAGTAGCAGTAGTGGTAGTAGTAATAGTCGTAGTAGTAGTGAAAAATGAAATAAGTAGCAATTGTAGTAGCA